AGAGCTAGCGTTGTCATTCGGGGCTGTAGCCTAAAGGTGGATCTCCAATGAACACGGCGGCCGTCCGTCCGACGTTTGTCCAACGTCCGCCAAACTCTATTTCCCTACCTAGAGTACACTGGGGTCTCATCAGAATGACGCGCGATGATCATAGATCCTGCCAATGAGTTTTAAGTCACAAGAGAGCGATATTTCGTATTTATTTTGTAGCAGAGAGGTACGACGGACGTCGGACGGACGGACGTTCTGTTCATTGGAGATCCACCTTAAGCTTAACCACCTTCGTATCGTAGTACTGTGTGTGACTGAGCAGAAAAATGGAATTTACTGTGATACATCAGTCATTCAGAAGCGCAGAAAACAAAAAATATAAGCAAAACTACCGCAAAATTCGTAAAAAATAATGGGTCGGACATGGTAGCGAACGCTACTTTGCCATCACCCGCGCACCATGGCATCGAATGATTTCGGCTGTACTATAGTAAATTTATGTTCCCTGACCTATTATGAACCTAAATCAGCAAGGACGTCCCGTTTTACCTCGTAATAGCTTCACGGTGGCAGTTTGAAAAACAAACGATTTTTCGGCTCGTTGGATGGGCGCTTTTTTCGCGACTTTTTGAAGGGCCTTCCTTTGAAGCCTGATAGGAGCTGTCACGGTCGTTGCTCGGACATACACGCTATTTGGGGAGACAAAGAAAGGTTGGAGGAAGGTCTACCGCGAAATTCAAATCGATTCAATCTCCGTCGGGGTTGCGGTGACCCGTCGAAAAAAATGACCCACAATTGATTCGTGACCCACAATTGATTTTTTACCTTAGTAGGGGAGATGAAGCCCTGTCATAGAAATCAAACTGCAGGTCGATAGGTCGAAAAGTAAGGAAACTGTGGCCCAAAGACACAAAAGGACCCACAATTTTGGCAACTTCCCTTATGTCTCACCTCCGCAGTGGCGAGAAGTCTGACCTGTGCATTAGTAGTGTAGGTAACACGTTTGAACTTTATTACGAGGTAACGGTCACGGTCGAAACGAACAACAACACTCGTGATAGTGCAGTCACGCCCTCTAGGCACGAGGGCAACAGCGTCATGCACAGCAACAGTCGTCTGCTGGGGTATAAAGGCAGAGGCAGGGCCTTCCCAGCCATCGTCTGGAGCCGCCAACATGAACTCCTTCGCCGCATTTGCTGTTTTCCTCTGCTGCATCGCCTATGGGGTAAGCCAAAACAGAGGGGAGTGTTCCCATGTCAGATAAGCGAAGCTGCACAGTGGCTTTGTTTGTGCAAAGTGTGGTGGTCGATGGCCTTTGGCAAAATGAACTTCGACACATTTTTTTCTGTGAGTGGAAGTCAGAGGATAAGGCATACGGAGTCAACATCTTGGGGACTTTTTGCGTGAAACTCGATCTCAACTTTGAGAGATCATGGCAAGCAAAAGAATAGACGTGGACGGTTTCCAGTCTAACTTAGACCTAAACTCTACTCTCCCAACTGCAGTGTGTCCATCGTGCACTCTCCTTTACAGCATGTTTCCAAGCACTCTCACTTTTTGGCTGCACTGGTAAAACAAAGGCATAAAAATTACGCCCTTTAGGGCATAAATACTCTTTTACGCCCTTGCAAGGGCATAAATCGTTCTATGCCCTTGGGAAGGGCGTAAATGGAATAGGAATTTCAAGCAAAATTTTAATGCCCTTCCCAAAGGCATTAACGATTTATGCCCTTTAAGGGCGTAAATCGTTTACGCCCTTTAAGGGAATAATTTTTATGCCTTTGTTTCACCAGTGTGAGTGAGAGCGAAGCCCTTGCCGTGTTTGGGCGCTCCGAAAAGTGACTGGTCGTGCGTCTGTCTGTCTGTCTCTCTGTCTGTATGTAATCACTCACGTTTCTCAGCAACTACTGAACGAATAGTATCCAAATTTCACACCTGATGTCTCCTAAACATCCTACAGGGGGAGTTTATCTCAGATTAACAATTATCATCGTTTGAAATATTCAAAACATCATTTTGAACTAGGTAATTAGCGTGATTAGGTTGGTAGCAGCGTGTGGCTGACCAATTTCTCATACCGGCTGCAGCGCTTGCAAGCCGTCTGCAAGACGGGACGGCACTAATGCAAATAAACAAACTAAAGAGCAAAGGGGTTCTCAAATAGGTACTGAGATAGTTTTTTAACATTCTAGAGCGATTCTCACGTTTCGGGGTAGTTTCGTTTCTTCTGACTCCTGTGCCCAAACGAGCGCAGATATCGACATGGGGTTTGTTTCTGATGTAAGGGAGGGCCATTGCCCACTAAACGCACATTTTTCGAAAAGTTCACGTTCGTTGGTTTGGTCTACGTAGCGTTTGGAATACCCTAAATTTAACTTCCGTGATTGTCCTAAGAGAACATACTCGAACTTTCCGCCCCCAGTGTGGCGGTGTGGTTCGAAAATGCTGCCAAACTGTCGATGGGGATTCGAAGCTTGGCATGTCTCGAGCTAATTTCGACCGAAGACCAATACGCCAGACTTCTTTCAAAGGTACTTATGCTGCAACGAAAAATGTCCTCCGTATATTCAATTTCACTACACAAATTTCGAAGAGGCAGCTCTGGACTTCTCCCCAAGCCAAACTTTAAACTTTCCATGACACAAGCCATCAAAGTGGAGTCCCTGGGATATAATTGCATGGGTCGCGGAAATTTAAGATGCTGTACACGGTCTCAAAGCGGGCTAGAGCATTATAAAATGGCGTGTATCAACAATTACCTGTAACTTCCGTGGCACCCTTTACCCAATGTTGCAGCAGCACTGGGTGAAAAAAATTTCCGCTTAAATGTCGGGCTTAGAGTATCATTTGACCCTGGAACGACTTTTAAGCCACAGCAAGCCCGAGTCAGCCGTTAAAGCCGATTTTCACACTTTGTAACTTCCGTGATAACGTAATTTCCGTGATCAAAACACCCACTAAAACGCATGGCAATACCTTATGGCTCATGTTTTTAGGAAGGTAGTACAAGGTCTTCACTATAAATACCATTGCCATAACTCTAGTATCATCCAGGACCCCAATAATCAGAAAAACTTAATTGGATATTTCTCACTTTCGGCAAATCAGAGACGCCAAAACTACCCCGAAACGTGAGAATCGCTCTCTAGAATGATTGAAACCGAGGAAACAGAGGAAAATACGGAAACTAAATGTGAGAATGGTTTACGTGTTTCGTTCCCCTCTCCCCCTCCCCCGTCACAGGGGAACAGGTCAGTGCACTGAGTGTAGTTGTGGATTGTAAATAGAATGTTTTCTTTGCCTTTGTGTGCATCTACTGATTTTATTCTCTCTGATACTATCCTAATTTTTAAATTTCATAGTAAATAAAATCAGGTAAATGCATGAATAACTTCTGTTGAAATTAGAAGACATGTTAATTGTCTTGGTTTGTCTCGGGGAAATGACACTCTATTGCAATGCTGCAAGCTAACATAAATATTCTAGTACTTACATCTATTGATTAAAAGAATCCATCAATAGATGTATTTTGTGCAATAAATAATCCATAGTGCTAACAGATTTTGAACTGATATTGGGTTCAATGAGACGATTCAGGTTTTGAGCGGTGGGTGACTTGGTAATTGCTTTTAATGGGACGATTCCTTTCACTTCACCAAAGCTTGTGTCCGACAACTGGAACTAAGTATTGGTAATGACACTGTAAAAAATCAGTGGTAAATTTGTCTTCCCATTCCGGAGTAAATTTCTCCTCGTGGTCAGGGTATACGCTTCCGCCGATACATGTATGGAGACAAAGTGTTTACGTGTCCATCCGGGAAATTTGCATTGCCATTGAATAAGTAAATTTACTCTGTGGATAGGTAAGTTCTTATTCACGTTCATGATAGTAAAATCACTCATTCCATTACGCTGTGAATATCTGCGTTTGGATGTGCGAAACATCTTCCTCGATCCAAGGGGGTAAATTTACGCACGCGTGGACGCGGTGAATATCTGCGTTTGGATGTGTGAAATATCTTTCTCGATCCAGGGGGGTAAATTTACGCTCGTGTGGACGCGGTGAATTTCTGCGTTTGGATGAGTGAAACATCTTCCTCGATCCAAGGGGGCACGCGCGGACCAGGTTGGATAGGCTGGCGGCGGGCCGGTCTAGTACCGCGCCTCTCCCGACCTTCGCAGGCAAGCGTCGCGGCGCAATGAGATGCGGTGCGGAGTCCGGAGCGAGAGGATCATGGTTCGAGACGCGGGCCCATCACTTCAGACTAAATGGATTTCATCACGTGGGATGTACTCTGAGGTACAGTTGTTCTCTCCCATCACTCTCATGCATACCCTTGGCCTCGTGATCGTGTAAAATTTCAATTTTGCCCCCCGGGGACCCACCTAACATATTTTTCACACCAAAAGGACAAATTTACCCCCGTGGATCGAGAAAACATAATTTACACATCAAAAGGACACATTTACCCCCGTGGATCGGCAAAGTCACATTTTCAAGTCATGTATGCGCGAATTTGCTCTTACACAGTTTAGCATTTTTTCCCCAGTCATGTAGGGTTACTTTTACCCTCTAATGAGATGCGTGAATTCGCCAAGCCATGGACCGTTGACAAGCGTTGCGCGGTCCAGATTTGTAAATTTACCCTCGAAATTTTTTACAGTGGATTTAAAAGCTGGCTTTCTGAATGTAAGCCCAATGTTAATACTTTACTGTATTCTTTTACTCTAAAGATAAAATATCACGAGGCATGAATAAGGTAAATTAAGGCGTATTGAGCAACAAGTGGCCTCTGCATTTGACTTCATGAGACGATTCACTGAATTTGACAAAACTTGTTCTCCGTCGAATGCTTCAGATCAGCCTGCCCTAAACTGAGTCACTTAAGGGGGGACATCACTCCAAAATGATAAAAAAATCGCAACTTTTTTTTATAAGTTTATAATACAGACCATTCTTTTGTGCGTCGAATGGCAAAAACCGCATTCCGAAATTCAAAAAATTGCAGTTTTGGGAGGTTGTGGGCCGCAAACATGCATAGGGGAAAAGCCCAGTTTCCACAACTTTGATCGCGTTTTTCTCGGAACATGAAATACCAAACGGTTGCAGGCCTCTAGGGCGCAGTTTTTGAGCTAGAGCGGGGAAATTTAGCATGGAAGCTCCTACAACATGCCGTTATGGTGGGTAGCAAAATAATTTGCATTGGTCAATTTTTATTATTTTTTTAACGTTCGAAGTTGAACAATTTTGACCCAAAAAATTGAACAATTTTTTTTGGCATGTAAGAAATACTACTTAAAATGATTTTTTAAATGTGATTGAGGTACCCACCATAGCCAGACATCTCAGGAAGGCTGTCACCAAATTTCGTTGTTCTAGGTCAAACCGTTTGGCGTCCAGCGCTGCAACCGTGCTAAATGGTCTAACCTAACACTCAAAAATGCGTTTTCAACGAAAGTGTTGAAATATCAGGTTGTGTGAGGGCGTTCAGGGTTAAGAAGGATACTTAGTTCAAGTTGATAAAGTTGAGATATATTGTCCAGTAGAGGAAATACAACCGCACTCCAGCAGAGTCGAGAACCAAGTGAACGAGGAGACAGAGTACAGTTTACTTGCAGTACACAACATACAGATTCATATTCAGGTGTAGGCTGGTTCAGGTGTTATGAGAATATGTACGGTACAGGTATGGGAAATTGCTATATTCAACAGAAAGCGCTGTACTGCCCTGGCTAATTGACTTAGTGTGGTTTTATACTTTATCTGTCAAAATATGAACAATTTTTCTCTTTCCGTTTGGTTTTTATGACGATTTTACAAAAGCACTGTTTTCGGAGTGATGTCCCCCCTTAATAAAAACTATGATGACATATTCCAGTCCATATTGTTTAATTCACCGGTTTTAAATGAAAGAATGACAAAAGGCTTCTCAAATATAACTCATAAATTTGTGAAGTCATTAGTTTGAAGAAAAAGGTGTATCGAATAGTGAGTCAAGCAGACGAGTAGCTAATTAAGCGATTCAATGCTGGCAATGGAATGTTACTCGACTGAAGGAATCGCATTGGTGTGGCATTAGGGTATTGGTGACGACATGACCCATGAAGACCAACCCAGACCCATTCTTTACCCATTATTGATCAATTTGATATCAATATTTTTCAATTGAATCTCATATTGATTCTTGGAGTTTTTGGAGTGCTGATTATGAAAACCACTTACATCTCTACTCCAGACTTATGTTTTCATCTCAAATTAGGTCATTTCGGACCAAAATTTTCAGGTCGAGTTTTATATTGTTTTCTGCAGTGCTTGATGAGCTGAACTCAAAAATTACTTCCAAATTTTTCCCAGACTCACGCTTTACCCAATTTTGACCAAATTTGGACCAAAATTTTTGAATTAAATTTGATGTTGATCCCAACAGTTTTTTGTTTGCTGATAACGAAAATCACCTTCATTTCGACTCCAGACTTATATTTTCATCCCAGATTAGGTCATTTGGACCAAAATTTTCAAATCAAGTTTTTTATTGTTTCCTGCAGTTTTTGGTGCGCTGAGCGCAAAAATGACTTCCAAATTTTTCCCAGACTCACGCATTACCGAATTTTGACCAATTTTGGACCAAAATTTTGGAATCGAGTTTGACGTTGATCCCAAGTTTTTTGTGTGCTGATAACAAAAATCACTCCCATTTATACCCCAGACCTACATTCCACTCAATATGAGCCCACAAGCTGCAGTCCAAAGTGCACAAATTCGCATCGCTCAGCCACACTACGCGCGCATACAAAACGGCGCGTAAGGTAAAAAATCAATTGTGGGTCACATTTTTGAAAAGTCCAAATTAAGGCCTTTAATTTTGACCTGGTGACAAAAGTGCATGTGGGGCCTTTAACTATGGTCCTTGGACTACGTTTTGCAGCATAGAAGCCCCGTCTATCATCCATATTTACTAAGCTGTGGCTGTTTCAAAAATAGTCTGTTTTGGCCCACAATTGATTTTTGGAACCAGTTGTGGGTCAGCATTGTAGAAAGCTCAAATTTGGATATGATTTGCTTAAATGCGAGAGGAATTCACTTTTGAATTTATTTTTCGGAATCGTGAAAACTGCAGGATCTGTAGCACAATGAATCAATTCTGGGTCATATCAATTCACTGGTACTTTGACAAAGTGACGAAAGTCCACGATCTCTTATTTTTCAGGAGAGTCAAAACAAGTCTAAAAATTGAGATGCAAAATAGAGGTTTGGGATTTGATGGTTGAGTTTAACACCATAGCATCCTGAAGGCATGAGTGTTCTTTAGGTTCAAGAGCCACTGCAATCGGCAGCTTAGTTCCCGAGATAGTGGACATTCGCCATTTCTCAGCGTACGAAAATGAGGTCAAAACGACGAAAGTCCAGCCGCACTTTGACAAAACGACGAAAGTCCAACCGTACTTTGACAAAACGACGAAAGTCCAAACGTAATTTGACAAAATGGCGAAAGTCCACCTTTACTGCTAACACAAAATAAATAAAACTTTTCAACTCTGGCATGTTTTACGTTCATGTCGTCACTGAACTCATGAGTATTCATCTTAATTAGAAAGCAATGGTAAACTACGACCGGTTTTTGCAGTTGGGACTTTTCGTCATATCGTCAAAGTACGGTTGGACTTTCGTCGTTTTGTCTAAGTACGGCTGGACTTTCGTCATTTTGTCAAAGTACAGGTGGGCTTCCGTCTTTATTTTAAAGTACGGCTGGACTTTCGTCATTTTGTCAAAGTACAGTTGGACTTACGTCATTTTGAAGTATTTTTCTACGCCGAATCTATTAGAGATATCAACATATGCTTTTCACCAGTCGATAGGAAATCAAAAGTTCTAGGACGCAGCCAAAAATCTCATTTTATCAAAATTTTGGACTTTCGTCACTCAGTCAAAGTATCAGTGAATTGTGGGCCATTTCGTCTTTTTGCTTGTAAATTGACCACTTTTGCAAGATATTTTCTTATTTTTATTAATAAAAGGTCCCTGGTTCTCAATAAACCAAGCAGGCACGTTTTTCACTCAAAGAGGAAAAATACATAAACCGACATAAACTGGCTTATTTCACTGTGAGACAGATGTGAGTAAAACTTCCTGGACTAGAGACGAAATGCATATTCTAGGGCCGCCGGTGTGGTAGACAATCCAACACCACACCCTGTCATCGTGAGGTATTGCAACAGTTTATAATCTATTTCAGTCAGAATATTTAGTCTGTAGGGATTGATTTGACTCCTACAGGGCCGGACTGGCCTCGGGTGCCTAGCCTGCAGTTAGAGAGCGGTCCCATTCCGGGCGCTATGTAAGCCCCGCAATGCCCCCTTCCCAACAAAAAAAGCCTTATGGCGGACTGGAAGTAAGAGCTAGCGTTGTCATTCGGGGCTGTAGCCTAAGCTTTAACAACCTTCGTATCGTAGTACTATATGTGACTGAGCAGAAAAATGGAATTTACTGTGATACATCAGTCATTCAGAAGCGCAAAAAACAAAAAATATAAGAAAAACTACCGCAAAATTCGTCAAAAATAATGGGTCGGGCATGGTAGCGAACGCTACTTTGCCATCACCCGCGCACCATGGCATCGAATGATTTCGGCTGTACTATAGTAAATTTATGTTCCCTGACCTATTATGAACCTAAATCAGCAAGGAGGTCCCGTTTTACCTCGTAATAGCTTCACGGTGGCAATTTGAAAAACAAACGATTTTTCGCCTCGTTGGATGGGCGCTTTTTTCACGACTTTTTGAAGGGCCTTTCTTTGAAGCCTGATATGAGCTGTTACAGTCGTCGCTCGGACATACACGCTATTTGGGGAGACAAAGAAAGGTTGGAGGAAGGTCTACCGCGAAATTCAAACCGATTCAATCTCCGTCGGGGTTGCGGTGACTCGTCGAAAAAAATGACCCACAATTGATTCGTGACCCACAATTGATTTTTTACCTTACCCCTAGTTACAGCCTAGCTAGGAACACGCCTTAGCGAGGAACACGCTAAGGAACAGTTTGCCTGCAAGTACGCGCTAAATAAGAATGTACTTGCAAGTGCACTTAAACAGGCCCATGCTTTTAGATAGAACAGTTCTATTGTAACTAAGCGTACCAGCAAGTACGCTGAACGGTAAAAAGGTACCTGGTTTTCCAGGAACTTCCTGGGAATCGCCTATGTCTTAAACATAAGGCTTCCTGGGAAAAACAGGATGTAAAAAACAGTGTGCTTGGAAGCATGATGTAAGCAAGAGTGTACTATGTACTAACATCAGTTTGCAGAATCAGAGTCGTCATTACTGAAAAACCAAACGTGGTCCAGACCGCACCACTGGTGTGGTCAGATGGGTGCCATTTTGACCACATCAGTTGGTGTGGTCTAGACCACGTATGGTCACGCTTGGTGCGGTGGTGCGGTCTAGACCACGTTTGGCCACGTTTCGCCACGTTTAGTCTGGTCTAGACCACACACTACAAATCCAAAAGTCAGACTTCTCGCCATTCCAGAGGCAAGACATAAAAGTCTCGCCAAGATTTGGTCAGACCTGAAAGTCTCGCCAAAATTTGGTCAGACAAAAAAGTCTCGCCACAAAACGGTCATACTCAAAAGTCTGACCCCAAAATGGCGAGACTTTTGTGTCTGACCACCACCGAAAGGCCGTAATGTGCCGGACGGTTACGGCCTAAAGGCCGTGGTCAGACACAAAAGTCTCGCCATTTTGGGGTCAGACTTTTGTGTATGACCGTTTTGTGGCGAGACTTTTTTGTCTGACCAAATTATAGCGAGACTTTCAGGTCTGACCAAATCTAGGCGAGACTTTAATGTCTCGCCATATTTTGGCGTGAAGTCTTTCCATCCAAATTGCAGTGCATGTAACGCACCAAACGGTGTGGTCAAAATGGCTTCCATTTGACCACACCAGTTGGTGCGGCCTAGACCACGTTGGTATTTCGGTGATGTACTCAAACTTTTTGGCGTGAATCACCGTAGAATGTCTCACGCTCAAAAGTCCAACTCAAAGACTAGCTCCTTCCGGCCGTGTGCGGGCTTCCTTTCTTTACAGCCTGTCGGCACGCAGGTAAATCTTGTGAGGATGTCACAAAAACCTGTCCGAAAACCTGATCAAGATGCGCGCACCTCTGAAAGCTGAAAATTTATTCTGACATTCTGTAGAACGCTGGCCATCAATATCAGAGTCAGTTTCCAGAATGTCAACTTTCAGAGGTGCGCGAATTTGGAACAGGATTTCAGACATGTTTCTGACCTTATGATAAAATTTATACGAGTGGGGTCGCGACCTAATTTGTATGCCTTTGTTTTAGCGGTGCCCGCCCTCCGGTATTTACTTCTCAAATACTTCGAGACGGGCCACGGAATGACCATGTTTCGCGTTTCAGCAAGCCAACTACTTGACGGACTTCGACCGGGCCATGGAGCACTGCTCCCACACACCCCTGAACAACGCCAACTTCCAGGCTGTGAGGCGCTGTGCCCCGTCGCTGAGTAACCGCGCCACCTTTAACCTCTGCCTCAACGGCCTGAACGCGGAGGCCAAGAAGATCGTCAACGCCGGGCTGCTGGCGTGCCTCGACAAGTACATCACGGCCCTCAAGGGCGCGGGCGGCTCGTCCGACCAGAAGAAGGGCCGCCTGGCCGCGTCGGGTGGCGGCAACAAGCGAGCCCGCGGCGGGGGCAAGTAGTGCCAAAGCGAAGAACACACTGTGACCTTTATCGCAAATAAAGCAGATGTAAAGAATAACCCAGTCTACAAAACATGGTCCCATGGACGTCGGAGGGATAGTTTCGAATGGCGAGGAATGCGCGTCGCTGTGGTGGTCCGAGTGGACGTGCGTAGGGACTATCACGGCGGGCGTCCCGCGGACCACTGAGGGACGTCTTGGGTGGCCCCCCAAAAACTCGAACTTTTTCCGATCGTCCAATTCCGCTCAGAAACCGATAATAACCCCTGTTTTTTGCGCTTTGTCCTGAGACGATTTTGAATACCGGCTCAAAAGCAAAAATGGTTTTTTATCCATTAAGAACACCAAAATTGATATGAAAATTACAATTTTTATTGGATTTTCAAAAAAGAGGCGGCAAAATGTTCTGCTTCTCACGGCGAACAAATTACGTTTCAACCAATTTTTTGTCAGACTTCGTCTTTAGTATTCTGCTAGCGATTTTCGCTCAAACAAACCTATGTTGATCACTATTGTAATTGTATTGTTATTGTAATTTTCATGACAATTTTGGTGTTTTTGGCCCGCCCTTCTATTCAAAAAATAGGGGGAGGGCCTATGCATTTGCCTTTGTGTCTGTGTGTTGTTGTTGTTGTTGTTGTTGTTGTTGTTGGCGTCTGTGTACAAGGAAGGAGTTGAGCTAGAGTAACCAGATTTGGAGGTTACTTCAGGAGTACCGTCCAAACAAATAATCCGGTGGTGCAAATCCCGTCCGGGTCGCACAAGGGCTGCTGCAGGTGCATCATGGTTTACATGAGCGGGAGGGGGATTTCCGCCATAATTGGTGCTAGCAGGGCACATAGGGGTATTTTTGGAATCGGGGCGACGAGACAAGATGAATGGACCTGGTCCCGACCCCATCGGCCGCTTTTACAAGTTGGCCAGATCAGGATCTTCAAAAAAGGGGGTCGACCGACCAAAAAAAATTATTGCAGATTTCGATTAGTCTCAGCCAGACCTTTTCAACGAGGGGTCGGAAAGGGGGTCCAGGAGCCCGACTTCGTCTATTAGTCACATCAGGATCTTCAAAAGAGGGGGTCGACCGACTAAAAAAATTTATTGCAGATTTCGATTGGTCTCAGCAAGACCTTTTCAACGAGGGGTCGGAAAGGGGGTCCAGGAGCCCGACTTCGTCTATTAGTCACATCAGGATCTTGAAAAAAGGGGGTCGACCGACTGAAAATTTTAACTTAAGTTTTGGATAGGTCTTGGCAAGACCTCTTCAACGAGGGGTCGGAAGGGGGGTCCAGGAGCCCGCCTTCATGAGTTATGGGAAAAAGTGCGACGGACTCGTTTTGCACTCCTGCTGTGCCTCTATTGCAAGGAGTTGCAGTAGCATGGCAAATATGGGTATTTTCGGAATGAGGGCGAAGAGACAAATGAAATGGGCATATTCTAAGGACAGTTGGAGTAAAAAGTGTAAGGACTATTGCAAATTGTGAATAGAAGGGCGGGCCTAAGTCACGTTGGTACATCGATAACTTTGCTTTACCCGCTCACGGTGTGTGTGATGCGAGCGGGCCGAAGGCCCGGGCCTTCGACTGGCCAAGTTGGGTCTGATGCGAGGGCCGAAGGCCCGAGAAAAGGCCGCCGGCAGGCCAAGCTGGGCCGGCCCCCTGTCGAACCGAGTTGCCGGCGCAGCGAAGCGAAGCTGGCAACTCGGTTCGACGGAAGGGCGGGCCCTAGCTTGTTAATGGATAAAAAACCATTTTTGCTTTTGAACCGGTATTCAAAATCGTCTCAGGACAAAACGCAAAAAAATGGGGTTCCTATTTTTCGGTCTAGAATCGATTTCTGCGCAAAATTGGACGATCGGAAAAAGTTCGATTTTTTTGGGGGCCACCTTAGGGACTTCCCATGTGTAGCGTTCAAAAAGTTAGCAAAAAATTTGGACGCAAGCGTTGTAGGGTAAGGTGCCCAGTGATGGCCACTTTTAGCGCACTGATGCGCCTTTAACCCCTTAACTAAGTGTCCCGCACGTCGCACCGGTATGAAAATTTCCAGGAACATACAAGAAGGATAGAGTAAAGGTTCCCAAGGTTAGAAACCAGCAAAATAAAATTTATTCTTTGAGAAAAAATGAACCAAAATATCAGTACAGTTTGCCCAGTGATGGCCACCTTTTGCCCAGTGATAGCCAGGGTCCCGGCCCAGTGATGGCCACACTAGGGTTTGAGCGTCTTGTTTTCGTTTTTGGCAGTTATTGAACCCAATTTCGGCTGGTTTGCACCGTGTTCGAAGCTAGGGGTCGCTGTGTCTTAGGAAACGGAAATCAGTATAACACTGGGAACTGGAATCTACTTGTGTGTATATCATAAACATAGAATTAAAGTTAAAATTTCAAGTTTGCGATAGGAAAGATTTGGTTTCTGAAAGGATTTGACCTCGAGAAGGTGAACATATAATGTTAAGCATGTCATAGGTACAGACTTCAAATTCAAAGGTTTATCAGTGTCCAAAGTGGAAAAAGGTGCAAAATGCATCATTTTTCCTCTTTCAAGGCCGATAACTTCTGAAAATCAAGCCTGAACCTAAAACATGCTTAACATTTTTTGTTCATCTTGTTGAGGTGAACACGTTTCTGAAATCGAATTGTTTCTATCGCATATTTAAAATTTTGACTCAAAAACAAAATTTATTATACATACGGTGTCTACACTCTAAATGTAGGGTGCCCAGTAACTGGGCGCCTTTGTCGCCCGCCCCACTTTTTAGGGTGCCAAATGTCGCCCAGTTTCTGGGCACCTTGTCGCCCAGTCTCGGGGTGGACAAATCATACAGTAACCGGCCCTCTCCCAGGGTAGAACATGTTCAGGTGTCTAGTTCCTGGGCGACTGAGGTGCCTAGATTCTGGGCACCTTTGGCACCTCAGTCGCTGCTGGTCCATGGGTGGAGGCAGGTTCCTTAATGGTATGTCCACCTCGAGACTGGGCGACAAAGGTGCCCAGAAACTGGGCGACATTTGGCACCCTAAAAAGTGGGGCGGGCGACAAAGGCGCCCAGTTACTGGGCACCCTACATTTAGAGTGTAAACAGTTTCCATGGTACCGCGAATTCAGGTCCCCATGAGGCAGGCGGCGAGTGAGATGCCGGTCAAAACCAAGAAATTTCAGGCAACAAACTAGACGGACATGCACGTCGTCGCATCGCTCGTTGCAAAGTCTGCTTCAAAACACTAGTGTGGCCATCACTGGCTGTGCACCGTTTTTGCCTGCCCAGTACTGGCCACCACCCCTTTTCCCTCAAATGTAACGAAATTTCAAAAAAACTTGCATGCTATGGTTAACTTGCCCTCTTTCGATTCTTCTGACGTGATGTTTCTCTTGCACGGACCTCATATTCACAAATGACAAGCGACGCCGTCAAAGCCGGCGCTAATCTGGGCCGGTATGAAAAGCAACGTTCGACCGGCCGAGAACGCAGTGTTCAGCGCGCTGCGCCCGTGCGGCCGTCCCTAACACTAAAAAGCTGAAATTTTTTCGGCGTTGTGTTGCCAATGAGCTAATTTATTTAATACGTGCAACGCCTTCCCATGACTCCCTCCGATTTTGACCAAAATTTTTTTCTGAGATGCCCTTATGGTAAGAAAAAACATCCTAAAATATTAGGTCGCAAAAAAATTTATTGGCCGAGAAAACCAATGTTTTCTAAATTTGCCACTGTTTTTACTTAATTTGGGAGTTTCTTTACTACTCTGAGTTTTTTGGTGCTAAGTGGCTGAAAATGAGGAAGTTAAGGCAAAGCTCGGGACAGATGGCGCCACCACCGCGCGGGCCGCCGGGCCAGGCCTCGGCTGAGGTCTCCGGGTCTGGCCGGGCTGTCGGCACGGTATTTCTCGGAGTATTGATGAATAACTCTCTATAAAAACGTTAAGTTGACTTTCTGTGGTAAACGAGTCAGTAATTCTGTAACGAATGCATTTCATTAAGCCCCGCTAGAACGCTCTCGACGACGTTACTGCTTCCCCTGCTTCCCTGGCAGTGAGCCACCTGCAGTTAGTTACTTTGAGTGTCTCAATAATTACCAACTTTTATTGGTGTTTTTCATTGACACGTGGCATAATATTTGTTGAGAATTCCAAGACCACCAAGCATCTGTATTGCATGGGAAAGTCTATTGAAATATGCTCTTATTTCTTAGTGAATATACTCACATGTGTGTTCCTAGGTCTTTAGATAGCTGCATTATACAACATTTTCTGTTTTCCTTTTGGCATCTAATTTTCTTGAAGTAAAAGCCTTATTTTGCAAACAAAAATATTGTTCTACGGCAAAAATTACCATACTTGGGTTGTCGTCCCAAATTTATGCTTGTCGAAGAATTCCGTTGAAAGATTATGTCCTTTGCTGTCCAAAAGAATACTCAAATGTTTTGTTCGACAAAATGAATGGTACAAAGTACTTACAGAAAGTTGACTAGATTGAAATCCTATTTTTAAAAGAGTTAAATGCTAAAAAGACCAATTTTTACCCCTTTTTGAGAATTTTGGTTTTCGAAAGTTTGTAAAAATTATGCCAGCGTTGTGATTGTGGTATGTGGCATGCGTATTGACCATATAAAGATCCTGGAATTTTATGGAAGGTACATATGGGAAATCAACTTGCATTTGGATTCCTTAGTAAGTAAAAATTCACAACGACAACTCAACTTTGATAACATTTGCCGTACAACAATTTTCCTCCAAAATGATGCTTGAACTAGGGTACAGCCTTAACTGAGCGACAACGCTATCTTTTTGAAGGCTGAATAACTTTTACTCAGTCGAAAGCAAAAAACTGAGCGAAACAACTAAAAGTTAACGTAAACATCCATAAATCGAAAACCATACAGAGTTGGGGCCTGTAACTTTGGGATTGAATTCATCTATTAGTGGTTGGATTTTCATCCTTCATATCAGCCCTACATCACAAACCAAAAAAAATGAAGAACATGAAAATCTTACTTTACAACAGAAACAGAATCCTAAATTTTTCTTCTTTGTTCGCAATCAAATGCACAGAATTCTATCATTTTGTGTGAA